GTAACAAAAAAAAATTGGTTAAATTATACATCAAAAGTGACAAAAAAACTAGAAAAAATTATACAACAGAATTTTGATGCGGCACTGGCGCTCTCATCCACGTCAACAATTATTAGCGATTTACTAACACTGTTACCCTCAATGTATAATTTAATCCAAATTTTCTATTTAGCGTATGAATCATATATCTTATAAAATATTTTAAGGTTATTCAAAACCAAAGTAACAAGAGGCTGCCATGTGACATCCATTTTTTGATATTTGATATTTGAATTATCTATTGAAAAGAAAATAAAAATTTTTGTGTTAATAACTTGACAATTAATTCCAACAATTTAATGGCTAATTTCAATATTAAATGTGTTATTGTAGATTTTKAATGGTTTGAAAAATAGTTATTTTATTTGTTAAATCCAATAATAAAATATACAAAAAAATAAATATTTTAAGGTTATTCAAAACCAAAGTAACGAGAGGCTGCCATGTGGCATCCATTTTTTGGCATTTGATATTTGAATTATCTATTGAAAAGAAAAATGAAAATTTTTGTGTTAATAACTTGACAATTAATTCCAACAATTTAATGGCTAATTTCAATATTAAATGTGTTATTGTGGATTTTTAATGGTTTGAAAAATAGTTATTTTATTTGTTAAATCCAATAATAAAATATACAAAAAAATAAATATTTTAAGGTTATTCAAAACCAAAGTAACGAGAGGCTGCCATGTGGCATCCATTTTTTGGCATTTGATATTTGAATTATCTATTGAAAAGAAAAATGAAAATTTTTGTGTTAATAACTTGACAATTAATTCCAACAATTTAATGGCTAATTTCAATATTAAATGTGTTATTGTGGATTTTTAATGGTTTGAAAAATAGTTATTTTATTTGTTAAATCCAATAATAAAATATACAAAAAAATAAATATTTTAAGGTTATTCAAAACCAAAGTAACGAGAGGCTGCCATGTGGCATCCATTTTTTGGCATTTGATATTTGAATTATCTATTGAAAAGAAAAATGAAAATTTTTGTGTTAATAACTTGACAATTAATTCCAACAATTTAATGGCTAATTTCAATATTAAATGTGTTATTGTYGATTTTTAATGGTTTGAAAAATAGTTATTTTATTTGTTAAATCCAATAATAAAATATACAAAAAATATTTAAAACTTTTATTTTTACATAGGTAATTATGATTTTATTTTCTAAAAAATCACAAAAGAGAAATTTCGATTAAAAAAAGCCTCACATGAACAAAAAAAATGCTGTGAAAAAATTAAGATATAATTTTAAAATTTTTAAGATTGTTAAAGTCTGATTGGAGATATTAATAATTATTTTTTTTAGTCTTCACACCTTCTAAAGCTAATTTCTTAACTATCCATTAATGAAATTAATACAATTTGTACTGGACATAATACTTCTATCCAAGACTCTTGAAAAAATCTTAATCCATCACAAATTGTGAATCTAGAAAAACAAAATCACTTCACCAATGAATCGATGTTAAAGATAAAAAAAATCATAGCAAAACGATAAAGAGAATAAGACAAAAATACAATAAAGCATCAATTATTTTTTTAGTAAGATTCAAAATTCCATTGAAAGAAACACAAAGATACATTCCAATATCTTTGTTGAGATGATGCATATGTCAAGGTAAATCAAAATCATATTACAACTTCTCTAATCAATAATTTTTTTAAAAAATATTTAAAACTTTTATTTTTACATAGGTAATTGTGATTTTATTTTCTAAAAAGTCACAAAAGAGAAGTTTCGATAAAAAGAAGCCTCACATGAACAAAAAAAAAATACTGTGAAAAAATTAAGATATAATTTTATAATTTTTAAGATTGTTAAAGTCTGATTGGAGATATTAATAATTATTTTTTTTAGTCTTCACACCTTCTAAAGTCAATTTCTTAACTATATATCCCTTATTGAAATTAATACAATTTGTAGTGGACATATAACACTTCTATCCAAGACTCTTGAAAAAATCTTAATCCATCACAAATTGTGAATCTAGAAAAACAAAATCAGTTTACCAATGAATCGATGTTAAAGATAAAAAAAATCATAGCAAAGCGATAAAGAGAATAAGACAAAAATACAATAAAACATCAATTATTTTTTCAGTACGATTCAAAGTTCCATTGAAAGAAACACAAAGATACAATTCAATATCTTTGTTGAGATGATGCATATGTCAAGATAAATCAAAATCATATTACAACTTCTCTAATCAATAATTTTTTTTATAAATGTGTTTGATGCAAGAAAAAAGACAATAAATCATTTTTTAAGAAATCGTAGTGAATATTGATGAAGACATACAAGTTAGAGATTTGTGCCAAATAAGATGTCTTCTATATGTTGTAGTTTTATGAAAGGTCTGTTTCTTTTTTCATATAACATTGGGGGTGATTGGCAATTGGGCTGTAGGACTTTATTAGGTTTTACAGTTTTTAAAAACAAATTTCAACCAATAAGACTTTTATCTTCCTTTTTTTCTCAAAGTCCAACCGTCAAACT